TTTTTTTGAGAGGTTTTCGCTATAGGGCATGTGCACTCGCCAGACAGACAGAGAGAGACATTAGAGACAGAAAGCGAGAAATCGCCTCCCAGGGGGGGATGGTCACGCCGCAATCCCTTCTCCTCCATTCTCCTCTCGGGATCTTGGGCACGCACGCACACGTGCCCGGCGTGAGTTTTAAGCCACTGGGTCCAGGATGCGAACCACGGTCGACTACGTGGGAGTCCAGCGACATAGCCATTACGCTAACTGCTGGTTCCTAAGTTCATCCTTTCTTGACATGCAATGCCCTGTGCCACCTCAAGACTTTGCAGGGTGTCCCCACCAACAGGAAGCCCTTATCAGATGTAGTCCCTTTATGTTGGACCTCCAAAACAGTAAGCCAAGTAAACCTCTATTCTTTGTAAGTCACCCAAACTCAGGTATTTCTGTTTTAGCAACAGAGAATGGACTAAAACAGCCATCTTCCTGTGTCTTCACATGGCAGAAGGCAGAAGAAAGTGAATCTACTCCTTCAAGCCCTTTCTATAATGACATTAATCCATATATGGAACCTAAACAGCTCCCCAAAAGCCTTACTTCCCAACACTGCTGCATGAGGGATTAAGTTTCCAACACATGGATTTTGGGGGATGCATTCTGTCCAAAGCACTTATCTAACAATGCCAAGTCAGGAGCCCAGTGTGAGTCTTACTGAAATTGGCTTCTCCATTTGGAAGTTTCCCAGATATCTGAGACTTACTAAATGAACTCCAGGACTGCTTCTCCTACTGTCCTCCCCTTCTCAGTAAATGCCAATCCTATTCTGGCAGTTGCTCAGCTCTAAAACTTTGACATTGTCCTCAACACCTCTTTCTTATAAGCCCTAATCAGCAAATCCAGCTGGCTCTATCTTCAAAATTATATCCAGAAACAGATTACTTCACATATCTCACTATCTCTCATCTGGACCCCCGTGGTAGCATTTAAAACTGATTTCGCGGGGCTGGCAGGTGGTGTGGTGTTTAAGGGCACCGGACTCCCACATGTCTGACTGCGTTTCGAGTCCTGGGTCTGGCTACTTGCTTTCTCACTTGCCCTCTTTCTCTCTCTGTCTGGTAAGTGCACATGCCCTATAGCAAATTAAACAACAACAACAATAATAATAAATAAAATTAAATCTCTTAAAAAGCAGAACTGATTTTGCTTCTTCTATCCTCAGCACAGTAGCCAGAGCGATCTTGCCAACACGTCGGATGCTTCTGTCCATTCTCTCCTCGTCATAGGAATTGTCCCATCCCATTTAGAATAAAAGCCAAGACATCGTGATGGCCTTGGAGGGTGGCCAGTCACTCTGTGTCCCTGTGCCCATCCGCCTTCTTGTCTACGTCATGGTGTTTGGCTCACCAGACATCAAAGTTCCTCACCTGCCCATAGCTATAGGTCATCCTGGGAGGCAGATTTCAGGTCACATGGAGGCACCTGGACCCTCCATACCCTTTGGCCCACCTCTGCCTTCTTCCATCCCCATCGTGGTGGTCATCGGAGTAAGAGTACACACGCTTTTCTTGCCTGACTCAAAGTTGATAGGAACAGATTTTTCCACAGGGTTTCATGCTCCTCAAGGCAGTGACAAGCCCAGGATCATTTTCTGATTCTGTCGCTTTTGTACTCAGTCAGGCTAGTAACTGAAGTGGCAGTTGCTGCCATAATGCAAATTGATAGGGGCTGAGGAGAGATGTTTTTATAGCAAGGAAATGGGGGCCAGCAAATGACATAGTGGTAAAGGCACTGGACACTCCCACATGACAGACCACACTTCAAGTCCCGGACCTGGTGGTTTGCTTTCTCACTTTCCTTCTCTCTGTGTGTCTATCTATCTCAGGTCAAATGAAAATAAATGAATAAATAAAATTAAATAAATAATTCTTTAAAAAAAAAAAGGAAATGGGGGAGGGTGGAAGAGGTGGCTCCTACTTTAGGTTAACCACATCAGTCTTCCAGCATCTTCCTGCTCAGTTGGGTACATTCCCAGGGATTGTGTGCAGTAGACAAGCATCTGTGAGAACAGCTGTTTCTTACTGGTGAATCCAGTAGCTGGTAATGAGGTGAAGGATGTAGACAAGGCCTTTCCTTAATGGACGGCAGGGTGGGGACAATGTGGCGTTCACCCCGTGCCTCCCTTTGCACTGTTTCTGTTACTTAAAAGGTTTGATGCAAGTTTTTTGAACTGAACTGGCACATCTTTAAAAGCCTGAACATACTAGATGATAAATCAGTCACACGCAAATAAAGCCTATAGTACACATATCTTATTGTTCCTGGGTTTCAATGTCAGCACAGCCACGGGAACTGAGAAGGGGGCAGATATCAGCCAAGGACCTTTTTAGGACATCGGAAGTGGCAGTAGGGTTGATGTGTTATGTTCTGTTTTTGTCTGATAGGTCATTGCTTGTGAGCAGCAGTATGACTCCTCCTATGATGCTCGCTGTGACGTCTGGTCCTTGGGGATCACAGCTATTGAACTGGGGGATGGAGACCCTCCCCTGTTTGACATGCATCCTGTGAAAACACTCTTTAAGATTCCAAGGTAGGACACAAGATGGCGCTATTGACTCATTAGTTCTTTGTAAAAGGGTCTCGTTAAAGGGATAATAAATAGTTGGTAAGCAATTTCTCTCCAAACCTGAAGAAGCCTGATTGTAAAATACATTTCCTTCTAAAAACAAAAACAAAAACGGGTGAGGAGGCGGGAAGAGGATGTTCCTGAATGGATAGTATACCCCAAGGGATAATCGGAACATATTTAACAATGGCAAAGTTTTCGCACTCTGATATTTTAGAGGTTTTATTTGTGTGCTTTGCATGAGAAGAGTACGGTTGCAATTTTGAATTAAGTTATCTGTCTAAATACTGGTGTTTTCTTTTGAATTGTATGCTTTTTATTTTAGCATTTGGGAAAATTAGGGAGCAAAGGCAAAAAAAGGAAAAAAATGTGTCATATTATTGTATCTACTTAGACCAGCACTTGAAAGGTATCAGAAAAATATTGCATCAGTCCTATGTCTTGTTCTTCACCCTTTAATTTTGGTCTCAAAGGGGTACTGTGCTGAAAGTAGGTCTGTTTGGAGAGTATTTAAATGCAGGTTTGTTTTCTAATCTATGTATTCATTAGGGGCTGTACAAGAGGGTTTGTTGTTTGTCTGTCATCGGAATTGGGATGATGAATGGCCAGCTCAGGGCTCCAGTTACAGAAAATGAAGCTGTGCTGGGGTTCCATCCTGGCCAGGGTGCACACTGGTAGATAATTTATACTTTCCAGACGTCTCTTTCAAACGAAGGCTCTGGGCAGGCTGGGAGCCATTTAACTGCTCTAACAATACACGTGTTGACCTTTCCTTATCTGCACAATCACAGAGCTATCACAGCCCTTAAAATTTTTTCCTGATTGCAATTTGCATTTCTGATTAGGTCTATTTATATGCAGATGAGGCTCTCTGCGTTCATCATCATAATGTTATCGTTTCTTTATACCTAATCCAGATGTGAACCACCACCAAACCACTATTCCAAAAAGGATTCCGACCCAGTCAGGGCTAGTCTCTGCCTTTTCCAAACTACAAAAACAAGTCCTGGCGATTAGAGGAGCAGACCAAGTGCCTGGCTTTTCAAATTAATAGTCTGGTAAAGCAAGAATGTGGGAGCCAAAAGCAGCATTGTCTACAGTAAAGTGTTAGAAAATGCGAATGGTATCTGGAATGATTTGTGTGTGTGCTTTAATTTTTTACAAATGATTTTGTCATGGGATGGGAGAGTATTTTAGGGCTGCCCACTCATTACCCGCTCACTGCCTACCACAGCTCACTCCTCACTATTTGTTTACTGTGACATAATTTCCCAAATGTAAGGATCAGGGTATGGCTCTGCTTAGCGAGATATATGTACTTTTGATAAGAGGTCATCTACCCGGATATATTTTTTCTTTTCTTTTTTTAGTATGCCTTTGTATACAAACTGTTGAAAAATGTCATAAGGTGCTAAATGTGAGACTGCTAAGGAGTGTGTGTGTGTGTGTTTGAATAGACTTTTCATCTCCAACCATTCCACTTAGGTTGCTTCTGTGCCCAGCCCAGACTCTGTTCTCTGATAATCACTCCACTCACCACTTCTGTCTGGGAGAAACCTCCAGATCTGGGACACAAATAGCTAAACTCCCACAGTCTCCTTTTGGACAGATGAGTCTTCCAAACACGATCATGTCAAGCTATTTGCATACCCTTTACTGAAGCCAGGGAAACTACGTTGTGTTTATATTCACCGTTATTTACTTTAAATTACCCTGTCAGGGTACCAGCAGTTAGCGTAATGGCTCTGTCGCTGGACTCCCACGTAGTTGACCGCAGTTCGCATCCCGGACCTGGTGGCTTAAAACTCATGCTGGGTGCTTGTGCATGCGTGCCCAAGATCCCGAGAGGAGAATGGAGGAGAAGGGACTGCGGCGTGACCATCCCCCTGGGGGGTGATTTCTAGCTTTCTGTCTCTATGTCTCTCTCTGTCTTTCTGGTGAGCGCACACGCCCTATAGCAAAAAAACTCTCAAAAAAAAAAAATTACCCTGTTGGGACTGGCAGGTGGCGTGGTGGTTATGGGCAGTGGACTCCCACTTGGCCTGTTAGGCCTTTTAGGCTGTGACCATAGCAAGTGCTGAGCACATATATTCGCGCTGGGAATCTGCTGACCGCACCTTGTTGACATTCCCTGGTTTGATCTGATTCATCACTTGCACAGACATCGAGAGACAGTAAAAGAGCAGGAGTTTGCACTAGGAGGAGAGAAACAGAGCCTCAACCTAAGTTGGGATAAGGATCCTTTTACTTGTGCTGGGTGCATGTGCGTGTGTGCCCAAAATCTCAAGAGGAGAATGGAGGAGAAGGGATTTCAGTGTGACCATTTCCCGGGGGAGGGGGGGGGATGATTTCTCACTTTCTGTCTCTGGTGAGTGCACACACCCTATAGCAAAAATCTCTCCAA